GGTTTTGCAAAGTCAGTGATATTCAGGCCACCGGTGATGGGAGCCGTGTTTATCCCAGGCACAGAAGTGCTCTTAAAAGGGAGTAAGATCTCAAGTGGCAGCTGGAATTTTTAGATGTTCAGGCTTAGAAGGCCTCAGCTGCAGAGAAAGGTTAGAAAATCCAAGGAAACTCACCAGAAAATGATCAGTTGGTGTTTGAGGTTATGGGTTTGGAGTACGATGTTTTGTTTGGGTTTGGGGTACCGTGTTTTGTTTGGGTTTTTGTTTGTTTCTTTATTTGATTTTTTGTTTGTTTGTTTTTCTCTTTTTGAGAGATCGTGAGAAAGGAAGAAGAATTGGGGGGGAAAAAGGGATTTGAATGCAATTTGTGGTGAATAATTGCAGCATGATCCAACACACACATGGTTCTACAAGTGAATGCCTACCCCATGTATGTGTTCTAACAAGTTCTGGGTGTGAATGCCTTCCCCATGTATGTGTCCTGATGTGGCACAAAATGTTATCATTTCATGCATTTCTAACAAATATTCAAAACTTGATCATAAGTTTGTTAGAACTGGGGAAATCTTCTGCCCTCCCACCCCTCAAGGGTGTTGTCTACCCACATGAGGCTGTGCTGTCAGTTTTAATTTATGGTCGTTTCTTATTGTGATAAACAAAGTCTCGAGTTTCAAAGTTTCACATAATAGTTTATTATATGGTAAAAGCAAGCAGCCGGCTGGGTGACAGAAATGGGACCAGTTTCCCAAATCTGCACACCCCTACTACAGGGTACATTTAGTATTTATCTTAGCTACTTCATGCATATTAATTATATCATATACATATACATTCTACAGGTTTTTGCTAAGTATTTAATATATGGGTTTTCTTACAGCTAAAGCTGAAAGGGTTCTCTCTACAACCGGTCCTAATTCATGCATTCTTGGACGAACAGACGCCTAAAGATTTAAGGTTCTACTATATTTTATTCTTAGGATAGTAAGGAGGTTTTAGGCCTCTTAACTTTGTAAGAGTCTGTTTTATTTCTTTATGGGGGTGTAATTAAGTTTTACAATCCATTTGTTTTATTTTGATATAATCACCCATTTGTTTCACGAATCACAATTATTTATATATCACATTATTGACTCCAAACAAGGCAGTTTATTAGCACAAAATGTGTCTACGTTCTGTTTCCAAGTGAACATTTTCTGCACCCAGCACTGCTGTGTCTCATCAGCTCTTCCATACCAGCAAAATCTTGGAGGGAGTAGAAAATGAGAACGTTGTACTACTCTCCTCATAAAGAGAAATCCAGGAGTGAGTGAAAACTTGATAAGGATCACATTTCCCAAGCAATCTCACTTTCCAGGAGAGGTTGTCCACATGTTCACAGTGCTGCTACCAGTGAACAGGGATGGGCTGTTCTCTCCTCCCTCCATCAGGCTTCTGTTCAACTACTGCTGTCTTTTCATCTTGGTTACTTTTTACCTCTGTTTTTATCTTAGTTACTCATTGGCAAAGATTGGGCTTCATAAGTTTGCAAAGTGAAAGAATTTTACAAGGGTAAAAAAAAAAAAAAAAGAGATGCCTGAAAATACCGCAAAATTCATCCCTCTTGACTCTGCTTTTTATTTAATGCCTAGATGAAAATATTACCTCCTGAGTCTCCGTGTGTGTGGCTGAGTCCCCGGGACACCTGCCAAGACAGGAATTTTAGATGCCCGAAATCATGTGCTCAGCAGGTGTAAATTGTGTGCAGGGAGAGTTCACCTTTTGTCCTGAACCCCAGAGGCAGTTTCTCTTCATTAGCAAGGGAAGATGGGGAAGAAGATTATCCTCGTTTCCTGACTGCATGCCAAAGTTATGTATCATAAGGAGAAAATCTGTTCATACGTTCACAAATATGTTTGCTCCTAATCTGTCTTCAGGAGAGTGTCTTTGTGAGGAGCAAGGGGTGCTGATGATCGCAGGAGAGCTGAGACGGAGGGACAGGAACAGACGCAGAATTTCTCTGCCGAGATTTTTTTCCAGTGGGATCCACGGTAGGTCCTCCTGTTGGAAAATAAAAGTACTTAGTCATGGCTGTGGTTAAACATTGAGATTGTTCCCATCTCGGGCTGCGGGTGTCAGGTGTCAGTCGAAGTACAACCCTGTGGCTTCCCATGGGATGCTCAGTTTGCCAATGAACCAGAAAGTGTTGCTGGTGTTTAATCATTTCCCCTAGATGCAACAGATAAATCCATCCACTGTGTGTCTGAGAACGAGCAAGGGGCTCCTTTTTCTATTAAAACTGCAGAATGTGTTATCATCATAATCATGTCTGATTGTTTGCTGTTCCATCAAGATCCCACATCAGGGCTGAGCCACAGAAACAAATGCAAAAATTGCAGTTTTAAAAGAATAAGGTCACGGGGCACGTTCTGTGTGGCAGAACAAACACCATCATTAATTGGCCTCTCCCTGCAATGGCAGCACAGGCAGGGAACGGAAGGAAGGGATGTGGAGTATCTCTGTTTTTTGGGGCAAACAGCCGAGCTAGGTCTGATAGAAAACGTGAATTTCCTTGGTGAAAAAGAAAGACAATATCTTTTAGAAAGCAGGGCTGCTTGGACTAGTCAAGAGTAGTTATTTTATCTTTAAACGTTTAAAGATCTTGGTTGTGGCAGGAAATATATATATAAAAAAATCTATTAAATTTATTTCCTCTACATGTGCCAGAGTGAGAGATTATATTCAGCAAATGGACTGCAAAAGGCTCTTTGGAATTTGTGCTGTCTTGTTTTTTATTCTGAGACAATGACAGACCAAAACGAGTCCTGGTGAATATACACATCTGCTGTTTATCCAGGTATTTTCTCCATTGAATTGATTAGGAAAACCTTAGAAAACCAGTTCAAAGATATACAGTCACTTTGAAAACCCCAGCCTGATATCCCAGTGCATAATGCATAAAGAGAGGATTTCAGTCTCCTGTTCTCTTCCAGTGCTCATTTCCCTGGCATTGCCTGTCTGATGGTGTTCCTTTGGGACCATTTGGGTGAGATCTGGAATGAACATTTTCAGGGTGTCCGTGGTTTATGAGGAACTTGCACAGATTTCCAGCAACATCATCAATGGTGGTGTTGGGGGAAATTATTTTAAATAACCATGTATATAATTGTCAATTTGGTTTTGGTGACCTTTAGTGATCCAGAACTGTTCCATTGGGAGAAAAGGGATATTGGAGAATCCCTGTGTTTCCCCTTGGCTGGTATCTGAAACAATCAGCATTCCTGGATGTAAATGGTTCCTCTCAGTGTCCGAAGCCCATGGATGGGATATCTCACCCCATCTTCCTTTAGCACCGTTTTTGACCACACCAGCCATCCTGCAGCTTCCCTGGAATTTCAGATCATACCTTTTCATCTACAGAAATACTTTTCCCTGCAGATTTAAATAATTAATTGGGACGTGCCTAGTGGGTCTTGAGCTAAACTTCAGGGAGGCAGCGGATACGTGTGACCAAGTGACCTTTTGCTGTCCTGCTCGTCCCCGCGCTCGCGCTGTGCTCAAAGGGACGCTGTCAAAATTGCTAGGCCTTAAAACTTTAACCCGCTCTGACAAGTTGTTCTACATTATAAGTCTTCCCTAAAAGATTACCACGATTGTTTTGTTTGTTTTGTTCCAACAATCTTTGCTGAAGGCTCCACAATACGGCTTCATTTGTCCTTTTGGGTAGGTGGATATTTTTAAATGCCCGGCTTATTCCGTGACCTGTTAAAATCAAGTTGATGTGCGTGTGCTCCACTCAGCGGAGAACTCGCCGGAGATGGAGCGATTCCTCTGCACTCTGGAAGAAGAGACAAGAGCACGCTCTGGAAGCCTTTATGAGGAGGCTTTTAGAAGCCATTTTGAAAAGCCAGTCGTTATCCTTCGGTGTTTTGGAAGTCTGGACTGGACCTCCCAGGTGATATTAGGTATGTGTTAGTGAAGCATGGGTTGGTTCTTACAAAGAGGTTTGCTGTATGTCAGGGCACTTGGAGTTACTCCTCAGGCATAATTTCTAAGATCTCCACTCACAGAATCACAGGATCATTGAGGTTGGAAAAGGCCTCCATGGAGTCCACCCTGTGCCCGATGCCCCCCTTGTCCCCCAGCCCAGAGCACTGAGTGCCACGGCCAGGCCTTCCTGGGACACCTCCAGGGCTGGGGACTCCAAACCTCCCTGGGCAGCCCCTGCCAGTGCCTGACCACCCTTTCCATGAGAAATTCCTCCTGATGTTCCACCTGACCCTCCCCTGGCACAGCCTGAGGCCGTTCCCTCTCCTCCTGTCCCTTGTTCCCTGGGAGCAGAGCCCGACCCCCCCCGGCTCCCCCCTCCTGTCAGGGGGTTGCAGAGCCAGAAGGTCCCCCCTGAGCCTCCTTTTCTCCAGGCTGAGCCCCCCCAGCTCCCTCAGCTGCTCTTTGTAGGACTTGCATGATTTAATACAGCTCCACTTGAGGTGGATCAGAGCCAGCAGGTATATCTGTACCATCACACTTTCCCTGTTTTATATCCAAGGATTGACACCACACCCGTTTTATGGCGGGCGGCTGCACAGCCTCCATCCCGCCGCGTGACACGGGAACACATGTCCCTGTCTGCAGGGAGGAGGGAATGAGCCATATCCACTGGTCACACCCCAGGTGAGCCACACCCCAGGTGAGCCACACCTGCACTTTGAGGCTTGATTTGAGCTGTTTTACCGCTGCCTATCAACCTTGTTCCTATTGCAGCTGTACCAGCTGGACTGGGGTGTGCGAGGCTGCGGTGCCCTGCAGGTGCCCTGGAGCTGCAGCATCGTCCTTGGAGGCACACACTGGAGCACCTCCAGTGCTGCTGGTGACACAGGAGGCGCAGGGAGACACAGTGTTGAGCCTCAACCAGAAGCACCAACATCAGAGATCATAGGGATTCTTAATCAACTGAACTGATCCTATGAATTTTTCACCAGTTCTGAGGCTCTGGACCACCCTATCCAATACTACAGGTCTCAGTTCTCTCCTCTGTGCATCACTCTCCTACTCACAGTGAGTTTTAAGGGAAGCCAAGTGTGACCTTGGGTCACACAGCTTGGGAAAGGGTTTGCAGAGCATGTTCTAGAGTGACATTTGGTCCCCAGGGAGGCCTGTGAGTTGCCAAACTCCTCCTGGGTGATGGAGTTCCCTGCACTATGTCAGCCAACACCCCCACATGTTCTGAGCAGATGCAAAACATGCTCTAATGGACATGAGGAACTGTTCTCTGAGTTACCAACTGCGAGTGCAAGGATGGGTTTCACTTCTGCTCTGGGAACAAGTGGGACTCGCCAGTAGTGCAAAGCATGTCACTGTGGTGACCCTCTGTGTGATAATTCTCTAAGGAGTGGCAGTCCCATGGAAACACCGTGTTCTGCTCTGCCCTGACCTGCCCCAGAGAGCTGAGGGCACCTGGGGACATGGCTCAGTGGTGGCCTTGGCGGCGCCGTGAGTGAACCTTTGGACTGGGTGATATCAGAGGGCTTTTCCAACCTAACCCATCCTGTGATTCCGTGATTCCATGACTCTCTCTGAGGACACGCTGCTGTTTCCCACGTGGCTGTGCACAGATGTTGCCAGGTGTCCCCTGCCAGCCGGGCCCTGGCACCTCAGCTCACCAGGAATGAGAGAAGGTGACAGAATAAAAGTAGAGGGAAACCAGTTGGTCAGTGCTTTCTGTTCACCTCCTCTTGGCTAACTGCTAGACACAGTAAATAGGGAATTAGGGGCTTCTCAATATGTGTATTTTTTTATGTAAGTGCTTGGGGATTTCTGGTCTTAGGCTTGTCTGGGAACACAGTTTTTCTAGGCTGACTGATGCAGTCATGAGCAATAACCTAAATTGCAGTTTTTACTTGAAGTTTTTACAATGTCACCTTCTGCTGGAGGAAGTTAAGAAGGGAAGGCAACTGTGACGTATGGTTACATGGTGGTGTTCATGTGTGTCCACACAGGAAATTGGAACAGCACCTGTAGTGCCAGATTGCTGTTGGCTGAAGAAGAAAACACCTGCTTCCTCCTTTTCCAGAGGTGGTTGGTGGTTGGTGTTCCTCCTACCTGGGCCGTGTCCTCAAGCACAACTGTTCTTTTTGTACATAAATCTTAATGTTCCCTTGACGTGAAACACTCG